TGCTCACCTGAACTCTATTTTTAAAGTGAAATAAATCAACTTGCTTTCCAACCCTGAAATAAATGCAGGCAAGCAAATTAGTTCAAGATCTACTTTGGGGTTGTCTAGTTGCAGAGCTGTTTTCTCCTGGGTTCCATGGGGACATGTCCATATCACCCATCGATCTCATTAACAGTCCATGGTAATCACTTACACTGGGTAGTTTGCCTCTTGTTCTTGGCTTGGCAACCACTTTGATTTCTGTAAATATAATCGGATGGAACAAGTCAACTTACATTGCTACGACTTAAGCAGCTGCCAAGAAAGGGACCTAAATATTCTTTCTTGAACTCAGATATACTGAGAGGACCACTGCGGATGGCCTTGGATGTGTTCTAGGAGTAGCTGGCTCTACATTTCTGAAGACGGTGTACACATCCTGTTCGATTAAATCATCAACACATTCACAGCCTGAACACCCGAACACAGCGAAGCAAACATGTTCTCCCAGATGTCCTGGGGACTGCTTAGCTCCCTTCAGGGCCTTTGGTCCCTTTGCCTTGTAAAGCTTCCTTGTCATGGTTCAGATGACAGGAGACACTGAGATTAGACTTATGTGAACTATAAACCCACAATGATGAGTACTTTCAGGAATCTAGGGTACAGGATCTTTGCCACTCATGTAATGTGGGGTGCCAGGGTGTGACCTTTCCTTCAGGAAAATTCCTCACAGGCAATGACAGTGATGCTCAGAGGAATGCATTTTCAGGAGAAGCTGGAGGAGAGAGACTGGAGATCAGAGCTGCGCAATCGCAGTACCAACTCCAAAGTAGGGGCAAGCCTAACATCGCCTTAGACAATGGGTGATGCTGAAGGAACACTGTTCAGAAATGACATGTAACAGGGACATGAAATGACCCAGTAAACGAAAACAGACTGTAGGATGCACTGACTTTCCTCACCATGGCATGCATTGTTTCCACAGCCTTCATGGTCTAATGTGCATCAAGTCAGACTGGTGTGCCCTGAGACTAGGAGGGGTGAAAACTGACTGTCCTTAGTGTGTGCATGAATGCAGTCCTAGAGTTTCACTCAAACCAAGGAGTATCTGCAGGGCTTGCAGCAGACACAGCTTTCAATCACACAGAGAGTTGAGCTAAAGACTGGGAATGCTCCATGGAAGACCTCTGGGGCCCCAATCTATTTTTCAGGGTGTCCTCACATCCATGTCCAGAAAACACCACACAAGCTGTTCCTCAGTTGGAGCTCTGGAGCGTTAAGATCTGGTGGAAGTCACACAAGTCATAGCACCTGGAATGAATCCAATACTTCTCATTCAAAGAGTCCTGCAACACTGCAGTAATGTCCTCCACCTCTTGTAGTTCCCTGTTGAACCCAAGCGTGTGAGGAGATAGAATGTTAAAACTGCAAGTTTAGATTTGGCAACTTCTCAGTTGGTCCTGAAGGGAGGCTAAATGAGGGGCCAGACAGCAGAGTGGTTTTCCCTTTGGAGAAGAGGAACCATACAATCCTTCTCGGACTAGCGCAGAGACTGACTGTGGATGGAATTGAAGAACAGGTGTTGGGTGGGGTGGGGGGGTTGCAGAGCAGCAGGTCCTCAATGCACTGGTCAGATAACATGCTGCTGAGCAAGGAGACTCAACCTCCCTGCATGGTGCAGATACGGCATGCACACCATGAGAAACATGGAACCTGCATTTTGCTGCAATTTACTTGCAGAGTCCCAGTGAAGAAAGCTTCCTGATGTGGGATTCCAGGCCCTGTTCTTTCACTACTGTGTCCAATATGAAGCTTTTCTCCTACCATAAGAGAGTGTAGAACATTATCTGCTCACCTGAACTCTATTTTAAAGTAAGAAATAAATCAACTTGCTTTCCAACCCCTGAAATAAATGCAGGCAAGCAAATTAGTTCAAGGATCTACTTTGGGGTTGTCTAGTTGCAGAGCTGTTTTCTCCTGGGTTCCATGGGGGACATGTCCATATCACCATCGATCTCATTAACAGTCCATGGTAATCACTTACACTGGGTAGTTTGCCTCTTGTCCTTCTTGGGCTTGGCAACCACTTTGATTTTCTGTAAATATAATCGGATGGAACAAGTCAACTTACATTGCTACGACTTAAGCAGCTGCCAAGAAAGGGACCTAAATATTCTTTCTTGAACTCAGATATACTGAGAGGACCACTGCGGATGGCCTTGGGATGTGTTCTAGGAGTAGCTGGCTCTACATTTCTGAAGACGTGTGTACACAGTCCTGTTCGATTAAATCATCAACACATTCACAGCCTGAACACCCGAACACAGCGAAGCAAACATGTTCTCCCAGATGTCCTGGGGACTTGCTTAGCTCCTTCAGGGCCTTTGGTCCCTTTGCCTTGGTAAAGCTTCCTTGTCATGGTTCAGATGACAGGAGACACTGAGATTAGACTTATGTGAACTATAAACCCCCACAATGGATGAAGTACTTTCAGGAATCTAGGGTACAGGATCTTTGCCACTCATGTAATGTGGGGGTGCCAGGGTGTGACCTTTCCTTCAGGAAAATTCCTCACATAGGCAATGACAGTGATGCTCAGAGGAATGCATTTTCAGGAGAAGCTAGGAGGAGAGAGACTGGAGATCAGAGCTGCGCAATCGCAGTACCAACTCCAAAAGTAGGGGCAAGCCTAACATCGCCCTTAGACAATGGTGATGCTGAAGGAACACTGTTCAGAAATGACATGTAACAGGGACATGAAATGACCCAGTAAACGAAAACAGACTGTAGGATGCACTGACTTTCCTCACCATGGCATGCATTGTTTCCACAGCCTTCATGGTCTAATGTGCATCAAGTCAGACTGGTGTGCCCTGAGACTAGGAGGGGTGAAAACTGACTGTCCTTATGTGTGTGCATGAATGCAGTCCTAGAGTTTCACTCAAACCAAGGAGTATCTGCAGGGCTTGCAGCAGACACAGCTTTCAATCACACAGAGAGTTGAGCTAAAGACTGGGAATGCTCCATGGAAGACCTCTGGGGCCCCAATCTATTTTTCAGGGGTGTCCTCACCATCCATGTCCAGAAAACACCACACAAGCTGTTCCTCAGGTTGGAACTCTGGAGCGTTAAGAGTCTGGTGGAAGTCACACAAGTCATAGCACCTGGAATGAATCCAATACTTCTCATTCAAAGAGTCCTGCAACACTGCAGTAATGTCCTCCACCTCTTGTAGTTCCCTGTTGAACCCAAGCGTGTGAGGAGATAGAATGTTAAAAACTGCAAGTTTAGATTTGGCAACTTCTCAGTTGGTCCTGAAGGGAGGCTAAATGAGGGGCCAGAGACAGCAGAGTGGTTTTCCCTTTGGAGAAGAGGAACCATACAATCCTTCTCGGACTAGCGCAGAGACTGACTGTGGATGGAATTGAAGAACAGTGTGGTGTTGGGTGGGGTGGGGGGTTGCAGAGCAGCAGGTCCTCAATGCACTGGTCAGATAACATGCTGCTGAGCAAGGAGACTCAACCTCCCTGCATGGTGCAGATACGGCATGCACACCATGAGAAACATGGAACCTGCATTTTGCTGCAATTTACTTGCAGAGTCCCAGTGAAGAAAGCTTCCTGATGTGGGGATTCCAGGCCCTGTTCTTTCACTACTGTGTCCAATATGAAGCTTTTCTCCTACCATAAGAGAGTGTAGAACATTATCTGCTCACCTGAACTCTATTTTAAAGTAAGAAATAAATCAACTTGCTTTCCAACCCCTGAAATAAATGCAGGCAAGCAAATTAGTTCAAGGATCTACTTTGGGGTTGTCTAGTTGCAGAGCTGTTTTCTCCTGGGTTCCATGGGGGACATGTCCATATCACCATCGATCTCATTAACAGTCCATGGTAATCACTTACACTGGTAGTTTGCCTCTTGTCCTTCTTGGGCTTGGCAACCACTTTGATTTTCTGTAAATATAATCGGATGGAACAAGTCAACTTACATTGCTACGACTTAAGCAGCTGCCAAGAAAGGGACCTAAATATTCTTTCTTGAACTCAGATATACTGAGAGGACCACTGCGGATGGCCTTGGGATGTGTTCTAGGAGTAGCTGGCTCTACATTTCTGAAGACGTGTGTACACAGTCCTGTTCGATTAAATCATCAACACATTCACAGCCTGAACACCCGAACACAGCGAAGCAAACATGTTCTCCCAGATGTCCTGGGGACTTGCTTAGCTCCCTTCAGGGCCTTTGGTCCCTTTGCCTTGTAAAGCTTCCTTGTCATGGTTCAGATGACAGGAGACACTGAGATTAGACTTATGTGAACTATAAACCCCACAATGGATGAAGTACTTTCAGGAATCTAGGGTACAGGATCTTGCCACTCATGTAATGTGGGGGTGCCAGGTGTGACCTTTCCTTCAGGACAATTCCTCACATAGGCAATGACAGTGATGCTCAGAGGAATGCATTTCAGGAGAAGCTAGGAGGAGAGAGACTGGAGATCAGAGCTGCCGCAATCGCAGTACCAACTCAAAAGTAGGGGCAAGCCTAACATCGCCTTAGACAATGGTGATGCTGAAGGAACACTGTTCAGAAATTGACAATGTAACAGGGACATGAAATGACCCAGTCAAACGAAACAGACTGTAGGATGCACTGACTTTCCTCACCCATGGCATGATTGTTTTCCACAGCCTTCATGGTCTAATGTGCATCAAGTCAGACTGGTGTGCCCTGAGACTAGAGGGGTGAAACTGTAACTTCCTATATGTAGTGTGCTGCCATGAATGGCAGTCTCTACTGAGTTCACTCAAACCCAAGGTCATAGTATCGCAGGGCGTGCGCAGCACAGCTTTCAAATCAACACAGCGATGAGTTCGAAGTAAAGACTGGGATATTTCCATTAAGATCTTACTCTGTGAGCCCCTAATCATATGTTTTGTCAGGGGGTCCGTATCCATCCATGTCCAGAAAACACACACCACTTTTCCTCAAGTACTTCTGAACTCTGGAGCTTAAAGAGTCTGCTGTGTATAGTACCACATGTCATGCACCTGAAATGAACCAAACTATTACTTCATTCAACAGAGTCCTTGCAAAACCTACTGCTCAACCTTTACTTTAATTGTCCCTCCAACCTTTGTTTGTGCTTCCTGTCTACCCAAGCCGATGTTTGAGGAAAGTTTAGTCTTCTGTTTTCTAAAATATCTGCAAGTTATTAGATTGTGGGGCAACTCTCAAGCGTTGTCCTGAAGGGAGGCACTAAATGAGGGCCAGGAGACGTGCTAGAGTTTAGTGTGTTTTCCCTTTGGGAGAAGGAAAACAAATACAAATCCTTCTGTCGGACCTGCGCAAGGATACCTTGACTATCCTTGAGCCAATATTGTGATGAACTTGAGAAAAACAGTGTGGGTGTTGGTGCGGGTGGGACTGGGTTGGCAGCACAGGTTCGCTCAATGCACTGTAGGAATTAATACCATGTAGCTTGATGCAAAGGAGACTCAACCTCCACTGCATGTTGCAGATACATGACAAATGCAAACAAGGATGTGGTAAATCAATAGGAAGCCAGCATTTCTTGTCTATGCAAGTTCCTCTCGGCAGCTGAATACCCAGTATAGAAGAAAGCATCGTCCTTGAGTGGCGGATTTCCAGACCACTGTTCCTTATCACCTACTGGGTCCCATATATGAAGCTTTTCGTAGATCCTACCATCTAAGAGAGGTTGATTCATTATATCGACGTCACGAACTCTATTTTAAAGAAGAAAAGAATCACAATTATTGCTTCTACCAAACCCTGTTAGATGTTAGATAAGGCAGGCAAGCAAATTAGTTCAAGGAATCTACTTTTGGTTATACTAGTTTGCAAGAGCTTGTTTTTCTTCCTGAGGTTTCCTTGGTAGGTGTACAAATTTTCTCACCTTACTCAGCACACTTTCGATTACAATTAAACATCACCATGTTAATCACATACATACTGGGTAGGTTTGCCTCTTGTCCTCCTTGGGCTTGGCAACCACTTTGATTTTCTGTAAATATAATCGGATGGAACAAGTTCAACTTACATTGCTCACGACTTAAGCACTGCCAAGAAAGGGACCTAAATATTCTTTCTTGAATTCAATATACTGAGAGGACCACTGCGGATGGCCTTGGGATGATTGTTCTAGGAGTAGCTGGCTCTACATTTCTGAAGACGTGTGTACACATCCTGTTCGATTAAATCATCAACACATTCACAGCCTGAACACGACCGAACACACGACCGAAAACATGTTCTCCCAGATGTCCTGGGGACTTGCTTAGCTCCCCTTCAGGCCTCTTTGGTCCCTTTGCCTTGTAAAGCTCATTTTCCATGGTTCATGTATACAGGAGACACTGAGATTAGACTTATGTGAACTATAAACCCCCCCACATGGATGAAGATTATTTCAGGAATCTAGGGTACAGGATTCTTTGCCACTCATTGTAATGTGGGGGTGCCAGGGTGTGACCTGTTCCTTCAGGTAAAAGTTCCTCACATAGGCAATACAGTGATGCTCAGAGGAATGCATTTTTCAGGAGAAGCTAGGAGAGAGAGCTGGAGATCAAGCTGCGCAATCGCAGTACAACTCCAAAAGTAGGGGCAAAGCCCTCTAAGTGATCCCCCTTAGACAATGGGTGATGCTTGAAGGAAACACTGTTCAGAAATGACTGTAACAGGGACATGAATGACCCGAGGTAAACGAAAAACAGGACTGCAGATGCACTGATCTTTCCTCACCATGGCATGCACTTTTGTTTCCACAGCATTCATGGTCTAATGTGCATCAAGTCAGACTGGTGTGCCCTGATCTAGGAGGGGTTGAAAACTGACTGTCTTATGTGTGTGCATGAATGCAAGTCCTAGAGTTTCACTCAAACCAAGGAGTATCTGCAGGCTCTAGCAGACACAGCTTTCAATCACACAGAGAGTTGAGCTAAAGACTGGAATGCTCCATGGAAGACCTCTGGCCCCAATCTATTTTTCAGGGGTTTCCTCCATCCATGTCCAGAAAACACCACACAAGCTGTTCCTCAGGTTGGAGCTCTGGAGCGTTAAGAGTCTGGTGGAAGTCACACAAGTTCATAGCACCCTGGAATGAATCCAATACTTCTCATTCAAAGAGTCCTGCAACACTGCAGTAATGTCCTCCACCTCTTGTAGTTCCTGTTGAACCCAAGCGTGTGAGGAGATAGAATGTAAAAACTGCAAGTTTACATTTGGCAACTTCTCAGTTGGTCCTGAAGGGAGGCTAAATGAGGGGCCAGAGACAGCAGGTGGTCTTTTCCCTTTGGAGAAGAGGAACCATTACAATCCTTCTCGGACTAGCGCAGAGCTGGACTGTGGATGGAATTGAAGAACAGTGTGGGTGTTGGGTGGGGTGGGGGTTGCAGAGCAGCAGGTCCTCAATGCACTGGTCAGATAACATGCTGCTGAGCAAGGAGCTCAACCTCCCTGCATGGGTGCAGATACGGCATGCACACCATGAGAAACATGGAACCTGCATTTTGCTGCAATTTACTTGCAGAGGTCCCAGTGAAGAAAAGCTTCCTGATGTGGGGATTTCCAAGGCCTGTTCTTTCACATACTGTGTCCAATATGAAAGCTTTTTCTCCTACCATAAGAGAGTGTAGAACATTATCTGCTCACCTGAACTCTATTTTAAAGTAAGAAATAAATCAACTTGCTTTCCAACCCCTGAAATAAATGCAGGCAAGCAAATTAGTTCAAGGATCCTACTTTGGGGTTGTCTAGTTGCAGAGCTGTTTTCTCCTGGGTTCCATGGGGACATGTCCATATCACCATCGATCTCATAACAGTCCCATGGTAATCACTTACACTGGTAGTTTGCCTCTTGTCCCTTCTTGGGCTTGGCAACCACTTTGATTTTCTGTAAATATAATCGGATGGAACAAGTCAACTTTACATTGCTACGACTTAAGCAGCTGCCAAGAAAGGGACCTAAATATTCTTTCTTGAACTCAGATATACTGAGAGGGACCACTGCGGATGGCCTTGGGATGTGTTCTAGGAGTAGCTGGCTCTACATTTCTGAAGACGTGTGTACACAGTCCTGTTCGATTAAATCATCAAACACATTCACAGCCTGAACACCCAACACAGCGAAGCAAACATGTTCTCCCAGATGTCCTGGGGACTTGCTTAGCTCCCTTCAGGGCCTTTGGTCCCTTTGCCTTGTAAAGCTTCCTGTCATGGTTCAGATGACAGGAGACACTGAGATTAGACTTATGTGAACCTATAAACCCCACAATGGATGAAGTACTTTCAGGATACTAGGGTACAGGATCTTGCCACTCATGTAATGTGGGGGTGCCAGGGTGTGACCTTTCCTTCAGGAAAATTCCTCACATAGGCAATGACAGTGATGCTCAGAGAATGCATTTTCAGGAGAAGCTAGGAGGAGAGAGAGGAGATCAGAGCTGCGCAATCGCAGTACCAACTCCAAAAGTAGGGGCAAGCTAAACATCGCCCTTAGACAATGGGTGATGCTGAGAGGAACACTGTTCAGAAATGACATGTAACAGGGACATGAAATGACCCAGTAAACGAAAACAGACTGTAGGATGCACTGACTTTCCTCACCATGGCATGCATTGTTTCCAGCCTTCATGGTCTTAATGTGCATCAAGTCAGACTGGTGTGCCCTGAGTCTAGGAGGGGTGAAAAACTGACTGTCCTTATGTGTGTGCATGAATGCATCCTAGAGTTTCACTCAAACCAAGGAGTATCTGCAGGGCTTGCAGCAGACACAGCTTTCAATCACACAGAGGTTGAGCTAAAGACTGGAATGCTCCATGGAAGACCTCTGGGGCCCCAATCTATTTTCAGGGGTGTCCTCACCATCCATGTCCAGAAACACCACACAAGCTGTTCCTCAGGTTTGGAACTCTGGAGCGTTAAGAGTCTGGTGGAAGTCACACAAGTCAAGCACCTGGAATGAATCCAATACTTCTCATTCAAAGAGTCCTGCAACACTGCGTAATGTCTCCACCTCTTGTCAGTTCCCTGTTGAAACCCAAGCGTGTGAGGAGATAGAATGTTAAAAACTGCAAGTTTAGATTTGGCAACTTCTCAGTTGGTCCTGAAGGGAGGCTAAATGAGGGGCCAGAGACAGCAGAGTGGTTTTCCCTTTGGAGAAGAGGAACCATACAATCCTTCTCGGACTAGCGCAGAGACTGACTGTGGATGGAATTGAAGAACAGTGTGGGTGTTGGGTGGGGGTGGGGGGTTGCAGAGCAGCAGGTCCTCAATGCACTGGTCAGATAACATGCTGCTGAGCAAGGAGACTCAACCTCCCTGCATGGTGCAGATACGGCATGCACACCATGAGAAACATGGAACCTGCATTTTGCTGCAATTTACTTGCAGAGTCCCAGTGAGAAAGCTTCCTGATGTGGGGATTCAGGCCTGTTCTTTCACTACTGTGTCCAATATGAAGCTTTTCTCCTACCATAAGAGAGTGTAGAACATTATCTGCTCACCTGAACTCTATTTTAAAGTAAGAAATAAATCAACTTGCTTTCCAACCCCTGAAATAAATGCAGGCAAGCAAATTAGTTCAAGGATCTACTTTGGGTTGTCTAGTTGCAGAGCTGTTTTCTCCTGGGTTCCATGGGGACATGTCCATATCACCATCGATCTCATTAACAGTCCATGGTAATCACTTACACTGGGTAGTTTGCCTCTTGTCCTTCTTGGGCTTGGCAACCACTTTGATTTCTGTAAATATAATCGGATGGAACAAGTCACTTACATTGCTACGACTTAAGCAGCTGCCAAGAAAGGGACCTAAATATTCTTTCTTGAACTCAGATATACTGAGAGGACCACTGCGGATGGCCTTGGGATGTGTTCTAGGAGTAGCTGGCTCTACATTTCTGAAGACGTGTGTACACAGTCCTGTTCGATTAAATCATCAACACAATTCACAGCCTGAACACCCGACACAGCGAAGCAAACATGTTCTCCCAGATGTCCTGGGGACTTGCTTAGCTCCCTTCAGGGCCTTTGGTCCCTTTGCCTTGTAAAGCTTCCTTGTCATGGTTCAGATGACAGGAGACACTGAGATTAGACTTATGTGAACTATAAACCCCCACAATGGATGAAGTACTTTCAGGAATCTAGGGTACAGGATCTTTGCCACTCATAATGTGGGGATGCCAGGGTGTGACCTTTCCTTCAGGAAATTCCTCACATAGGCAATGACAGTGATGCTCAGAGGAATGCATTTTCAGGAGAAGCTAGGAGAGAAGACTGGAGATCAGAGCTGCAATCGCAGTACCAACTCCAAAAGTAGGGGCAAAGCCTAACATCGCCCTTAGACAATGGGTGATGCTGAAGGAACACTGTTCAGAAATGACATGTAACAGGGACATGAAATGACCCAGTAAACGAAAACAGACTGTAGGATGCACTGACTTTCCTCACCATGGCATGCATTGTTTCCACAGCCTTCATGGTCTAATGTGCATCAAGTCAGACTGGTGTGCCCTGAGTAGGAGGGGTGAAAACTGACTGTCCTTATGTGTGTGCATGAATGCAGTCCTAGAGTTTCACTCAAACCAAGGAGTATCTGCAGGGCTTGCAGCAGACACAGCTTTCAATCACACAGAGAGTTGAGCTAAAGACTGGGAATGCTCCATGGAAGACCTCTGGGGCCCCAATCTATTTTTCAGGGGTGTCCTCACCATCCATGTCCAGAAAACACCACACAAGCTGTTCCTCAGGTTGGAGCTCTGGAGCGTTAAGAGTCTGGTGGAAGTCACACAAGTCATAGCACCTGGAATGAATCCAATACTTCTCATTCAAAGAGTCCTGCAACACTGCAGTAATGTCCTCCACCTCTTGTAGTTCCCTGTTGAACCCAAGCGTGTGAGGAGATAGAATGTTAAAAACTGCAAGTTTAGATTTGGCAACTTCTCAGTTGGTCCTGAAGGGAGGCTAAATGAGGGGCCAGAGACAGCAGAGTGGTTTTCCCTTTGGAGAAGAGGAACCATACAATCCTTCTCGGACTAGCGCAGAGACTGACTGTGGATGGAATTGAAGAACAGTGTGGGTGTTGGGTGGGGGTGGGGGGTTGCAGAGCAGCAGGTCCTCAATGCACTGGTCAGATAACATGCTGCTGAGCAAGGAGACTCAACCTCCCTGCATGGTGCAGATACGGCATGCACACCATGAGAAACATGGAACCTGCATTTTGCTGCAATTTACTTGCAGAGTCCCAGTGAAGAAAGCTTCCTGATGTGGGGATTCCAGGCCCTGTTCTTTCACTACTGTGTCCAATATGAAGCTTTTCTCCTACCATAAGAGAGTGTAGAACATTATCTGCTCACCTGAACTCTATTTTAAAGTAAGAAATAAATCAACTTGCTTTCCAACCCCTGAAATAAATGCAGGCAAGCAAATTAGTTCAAGGATCTACTTTGGGGTTGTCTAGTTGCAGAGCTGTTTTCTCCTGGGTTCCATGGGGGACATGTCCATATCACCATCGATCTCATTAACAGTCCATGGTAATCACTTACACTGGGTAGTTTGCCTCTTGTCCTTCTTGGGCTTGGCAACCACTTTGATTTTCTGTAAATATAATCGGATGGAACAAGTCAACTTACATTGCTACGACTTAAGCAGCTGCCAAGAAAGGGACCTAAATATTCTTTCTTGAACTCAGATATACTGAGAGGACCACTGCGGATGGCCTTGGGATGTGTTCTAGGAGTAGCTGGCTCTACATTTCTGAAGACGTGTGTACACAGTCCTGTTCGATTAAATCATCAACACATTCACAGCCTGAACACCCGAACACAGCGAAGCAAACATGTTCTCCCAGATGTCCTGGGGACTTGCTTAGCTCCCTTCAGGGCCTTTGGTCCCTTTGCCTTGTAAAGCTTCCTTGTCATGGTTCAGATGACAGGAGACACTGAGATTAGACTTATGTGAACTATAAACCCCCACAATGGATGAAGTACTTTCAGGAATCTAGGGTACAGGATCTTTGCCACTCATGTAATGTGGGGGTGCCAGGGTGTGACCTTTCCTTCAGGAAAATTCCTCACATAGGCAATGACAGTGATGCTCAGAGGAATGCATTTTCAGGAGAAGCTAGGAGGAGAGAGACTGGAGATCAGAGCTGCGCAATCGCAGTACCAACTCCAAAAGTAGGGGCAAGCCTAACATCGCCCTTAGACAATGGGTGATGCTGAAGGAACACTGTTCAGAAATGACATGTAACAGGGACATGAAATGACCCAGTAAACGAAAACAGACTGTAGGATGCACTGACTTTCCTCACCATGGCATGCATTGTTTCCACAGCCTTCATGGTCTAATGTGCATCAAGTCAGACTGGTGTGCCCTGAGACTAGGAGGGGTGAAAACTGACTGTCCTTATGTGTGTGCATGAATGCAGTCCTAGAGTTTCACTCAAACCAAGGAGTATCTGCAGGGCTTGCAGCAGACACAGCTTTCAATCACACAGAGAGTTGAGCTAAAGACTGGGAATGCTCCATGGAAGACCTCTGGGGCCCCAATCTATTTTTCAGGGGTGTCCTCACCATCCATGTCCAGAAAACACCACACAAGCTGTTCCTCAGGTTGGACTCTGGAGCGTTAAGAGTCTGGTGGAAGTCACACAAGTCATAGCACCTGGAATGAATCCAATACTTCTCATTCAAAGAGTCCTGCAACACTGCAGTAATGTCCTCCACCTCTTGTAGTTCCCTGTTGAACCCAAGCGTGTGAGGAGATAGAATGTTAAAAACTGCAAGTTTAGATTTGGCAACTTCTCAGTTGGTCCTGAAGGGAGGCTAAATGAGGGGCCAGAGACAGCAGAGTGGTTTTCCCTTTGGAGAAGAGGAACCATACAATCCTTCTCGGACTAGCGCAGAGACTGACTGTGGATGGAATTGAAGAACAGTGTGGGTGTTGGGTGGGGGTGGGGGGGTTGCAGAGCAGCAGGTCCTCAATGCACTGGTCAGATAACATGCTGCTGAGCAAGGAGACTCAACCTCCCTGCATGGTGCAGATACGGCATGCACACCATGAGAAACATGGAACCTGCATTTTGCTGCAATTTACTTGCAGAGTCCCAGTGAAGAAAGCTTCCTGATGTGGGGATTCCAGGCCCTGTTCTTTCACTACTGTGTCCAATATGAAGCTTTTCTCCTACCATAAGAGAGTGTAGAACATTATCTGCTCACCTGAACTCTATTTTAAAGTAAGAAATAAATCAACTTGCTTTCCAACCCCTGAAATAAATGCAGGCAAGCAAATTAGTTCAAGGATCTACTTTGGGGTTGTCTAGTTGCAGAGCTGTTTTCTCCTGGGTTCCATGGGGGACATGTCCATATCACCATCGATCTCATTAACAGTCCATGGTAATCACTTACACTGGGTAGTTTGCCTCTTGTCCTTCTTGGGCTTGGCAACCACTTTGATTTTCTGTAAATATAATCGGATGGAACAAGTCAACTTACATTGCTACGACTTAAGCAGCTGCCAAGAAAGGGACCTAAATATTCTTTCTTGAACTCAGATATACTGAGAGGACCACTGCGGATGGCCTTGGGATGTGTTCTAGGAGTAGCTGGCTCTACATTTCTGAAGACGTGTGTACACAGTCCTGTTCGATTAAATCATCAACACATTCACAGCCTGAACACCCGAACACAGCGAAGCAAACATGTTCTCCCAGATGTCCTGGGGGACTTGCTTAGCTCCCTTCAGGGCCTTTGGTCCCTTTGCCTTGTAAAGCTTCCTTGTCATGGTTCAGATGACAGGAGACACTGAGATTAGACTTATGTGAACTATAAACCCCCACAATGGATGAAGTACTTTCAGGAATCTAGGGTACAGGATCTTTGCCACTCATGTAATGTGGGGGTGCCAGGGTGTGACCTTTCCTTCAGGAAAATTCCTCACATAGGCAATGACAGTGATGCTCAGAGGAATGCATTTTCAGGAGAAGCTAGGAGGAGAGAGACTGGAGATCAGAGCTGCGCAATCGCAGTACCAACTCCAAAAGTAGGGGCAAGCCTAACATCGCCCTTAGACAATGGGTGATGCTGAAGGAACACTGTTCAGAAATGACATGTAACAGGGACATGAAATGACCCAGTAAACGAAAACAGACTGTAGGATGCACTGACTTTCCTCACCATGGCATGCATTGTTTCCACAGCCTTCATGGTCTAATGTGCATCAAGTCAGACTGGTGTGCCCTGAGTCTAGGAGGGGTGAAAACTGACTGTCCTTATGTGTGTGCATGAATGCAGTCCTAGAGTTTCACTCAAACCAAGGAGTATCTGCAGGGCTTGCAGCAGACACAGCTTTCAATCACACAGAGAGTTGAGCTAAAGACTGGGAATGCTCCATGGAAGACCTCTGGGGCCCCAATCTATTTTTCAGGGGTGTCCTCACCATCCATGTCCAGAAAACACCACACAAGCTGTTCCTCAGGTTGGAACTCTGGAGCGTTAAGAGTCTGGTGGAAGTCACACAAGTCATAGCACCTGGAATGAATCCAATACTTCTCATTCAAAGAGTCCTGCAACACTGCAGTAATGTCCTCCACCTCTTGTAGTTCCCTGTTGAACCCAAGCGTGTGAGGAGATAGAATGTTAAAAACTGCAAGTTTAGATTTGGCAACTTCTCAGTTGGTCCTGAAGGGAGGCTAAATGAGGGGCCAGAGACAGCAGAGTGGTTTTCCCTTTGGAGAAGAGGAACCATACAATCCTTCTCGGACTAGCGCAGAGACTGACTGTGGATGGAATTGAAGAACAGTGTGGGTGTTGGGTGGGGGTGGGGGGTTGCAGAGCAGCAGGTCCTCAATGCACTGGTCAGATAACATGCTGCTGAGCAAGGAGACTCAACCTCCCTGCATGGTGCAGATACGGCATGCACACCATGAGAAACATGGAACCTGCATTTTGCTGCAATTTACTTGCAGAGTCCCAGTGAAGAAAGCTTCCTGATGTGGGGATTCCAGGCCCTGTTCTTTCACTACTGTGTCCAATATGAAGCTTTTCTCCTACCATAAGAGAGTGTAGAACATTATCTGCTCACCTGAACTCTATTTTAAAGTAAGAAATAAATCAACTTGCTTTCCAACCCCTGAAATAAATGCAGGCAAGCAAATTAGTTCAAGGATCTACTTTGGGGTTGTCTAGTTGCAGAGCTGTTTTCTCCTGGGTTCCATGGGGGACATGTCCATATCACCATCGATCTCATTAACAGTCCATGGTAATCACTTACACTGGGTAGTTTGCCTCTTGTCCTTCTTGGGCTTGGCAACCACTTTGATTTTCTGTAAATATAATCGGATGGAACAAGTCAACTTACATTGCTACGACTTAAGCAGCTGCCAAGAAAGGGACCTAAATATTCTTTCTTGAACTCAGATATACTGAGAGGACCACTGCGGATGGCCTTGGGATGTGTTCTAGGAGTAGCTGGCTCTACATTTCTGAAGACGTGTGTACACAGTCCTGTTCGATTAAATCATCAACACATTCACAGCCTGAACACCCGAACACAGCGAAGCAAACATGTTCTCCCAGATGTCCTGGGGGACTTGCTTAGCTCCCTTCAGGGCCTTTGGTCCCTTTGCCTTGTAAAGCTTCCTTGTCATGGTTCAGATGACAGGAGACACTGAGATTAGACTTATGTGAACTATAAACCCCCACAATGGATGAAGTACTTTCAGGAATCTAGGGTACAGGATCTTTGCCACTCATGTAATGTGGGGGTGCCAGGGTGTGACCTTTCCTTCAGGAAAATTCCTCACATAGGCAATGACAGTGATGCTCAGAGGAATGCATTTTCAGGAGAAGCTAGGAGGAGAGAGACTGGAGATCAGAGCTGCGCAATCGCAGTACCAACTCCAAAAGTAGGGGCAAGCCTAACATCGCCCTTAGACAATGGGTGATGCTGAAGGAACACTGTTCAGAAATGACATGTAACAGGGACATGAAATGACCCAGTAAACGAAAACAGACTGTAGGATGCACTGACTTTCCTCACCATGGCATGCATTGTTTCCACAGCCTTCATGGTCTAATGTGCATCAAGTCAGACTGGTGTGCCCTGAGACTAGGAGGGGTGAAAACTGACTGTCCTTATGTGTGTGCATGAATGCAGTCCTAGAGTTTCACTCAAACCAAGGAGTATCTGCAGGGCTTGCAGCAGACACAGCTTTCAATCACACAGAGAGTTGAGCTAAAGACTGGGAATGCTCCATGGAAGACCTCTGGGGCCCCAATCTATTTTCAGGGGTGTCCTCACCATCCATGTCCAGAAAACACCACACAAGCTGTTCCTCAGGTTGGAACTCTGGAGCGTTAAGAGTCTGGTGGAAGTCACACAAGTCATAGCACCTGGAATGAATCAATACTTCTCATTCAAAGAGTCCTGCAACACTGCAGTAATGTCCTCCACCTCTTGTAGTTCCCTGTTGAACCCAAGCGTGTGAGGAGATAGAATGTTAAAAACTGCAAGTTTAGATTTGGCAACTTCTCAGTTGGTCCTGAAGGGAGGCTAAATGAGGGGCCAGAGACAGCAGAGTGGTTTTCCCTTTGGAGAAGAGGAACCATACAATCCTTCTCGGACTAGCGCAGAGACTGACTGTGGATGGAATTGAAGAACAGTGTGGGTGTTGGGTGGGGGTGGGGGGGTTGCAGAGCAGCAGGTCCTCAATGCACTGGTCAGATAACATGCTGCTGAGCAAGGAGACTCAACCTCCCTGCATGGTGCAGATACGGCATGCACACCATGAGAAACATGGAACCTGCATTTTGCTGCAATTTACTTGCAGAGTCCCAGTGAAGAAAGCTTCCTGATGTGGGGATTCCAGGCCCTGTTCTTTCACTACTGTGTCCAATATGAAGCTTTTCTCCTACCATAAGAGAGTGTAGAACATTATCTGCTCACCTGAACTCTATTTTAAAGTAAGAAATAAATCAACTTGCTTTCCAACCCCTGAAATAAATGCAGGCAAGCAAATTAGTTCAAGGATCTACTTTGGGGTTGTCTAGTTGCAGAGCTGTTTTCTCCTGGGTTCCATGGGGGACATGTCCATATCACCATCGATCTCATTAACAGTCCATGGTAATCACTTACACTGGGTAGTTTGCCTCTTGTCCTTCTTGGGCTTGGCAACCACTTTGATTTTCTGTAAATATAATCGGATGGAACAAGTCAACTTACATTGCTACGACTTAAGCAGCTGCCAAGAAAGGGACCTAAATATTCTTTCTTGAACTCAGATATACTGAGAGGACCACTGCGGATGGCCTTGGGATGTGTTCTAGGAGTAGCTGGCTCTACATTTCTGAAGACGTGTGTACACAGTCCTGTTCGATTAAATCATCAACACATTCACAGCCTGAACACCCGAACACAGCGAAGCAAACATGTTCTCCCAGATGTCCTGGGGACTTGCTTAGCTCCCTTCAGGGCCTTTGGTCCCTTTGCCTTGTAAAGCTTCCTTGTCATGGTTCAGATGACAGGAGACACTGAGATTAGACTTATGTGAACTATAAACCCCCACAATGGATGAAGTACTTTCAGGAATCTAGGGTACAGGATCTTTGCCACTCA